GCCTTCCAAGTAGCCAGAACTACAGGCGCACACTACCACGCCCAGCTAATTTTTGATTTATTGTAGAGACGAGGTCTTGCCAAGTTGCTTGGGTGGGTCTAGAACCTGCGGGCTCGCTGGCTCAGTTTGTCATGTTTATCTAGCAGTTCGCTTTAATTTACCCTCGACTCACTAGCCAAGGTCAAAGACAGAACCGTTTCTTAGAGGTAGCTAGTGATGGTTGTTTTACAACCCTCTCCTTAGCTTGTTTGTATTAATTAGCTTTTTTGGTTTCTTTTCTTTTTTTTTTTTTTTTTTTTGAGTTGGAGTCTCACTCTGTCGCCCAGACTGGAGTGCAGTGCCTGCTCCCGGCCACCGCAGCCTCGACCTGCTGGGCTCCGGCCATCCTTCCACCTCAGCCTTCCGCGTAGCTGGAATTACAGGCATGCGCTACCACGCCCGGCTGATTTTTTGATTTATTGTAGAGATGAGGTCTCCCTGCCCAGGCGGGTCTCGAACCCGCAGGCTCAGGCAATCCCAAAGGGGCGGGATTACAGGCTGAGCCACGGAGCCCAGCTAATTAGCTTTTTTATTCCAAGTATTTGCCTCCAGCCATAAGAAAGCAAGTTAATGGAATCAGTCCTTCTTGACCTAGACCGCCCCCATCACCATAGCAACAGTCATGTGACTAGCCCACCCATCTGCCTGCTGTCCATCACCTGTGCTTACCTGCCCCTTCGTGATGACGTAAAACAGACCACCAATCACCTTAACAACCTGCCCCATCCAAGGGAAGGTTTAAAGGGCATTCAACCTCCAACGGCAGCTTCCTATGCTTGGCCACCGTTTGCTTTTGTTAAACTGGTCTGGTCACCTTTCTCTAAGTTTTGGCTCCCTCTCCTATCTCGGGAAAGCGAATCTCCAGTCTCTCTCTAATCCACTTTCTAAGTAAACTGTGTTTTCCAGTCTAACATCTGTGCGATGCTTTGCATCTTTCACGCAGCACTGGATCACAGATCCTCCCTGGTCTGACCTAACATTTTGGAGGCCTTGCTGGGACTCAGACCTAATGCCACGCAGATCTGAACTGTTTTGAGAGGACCTTTCTAGCAGTGATCAGCTTCTGTTATGGGATGAATTGTGTTCCACCCAAAGTTCATATGTTGAAATCCTAACCCTCAATACCTTCATTATTTGGAGACAGGGTCTTTAAGCAAACAGTTAAGTTCAATCAGGGTGGGTCCTAACCCAATCTGACTGGTATCATAAGAAGAGGAATATGTGACCACTTGGATGGTTCTCAGCATTATATCTTTTTTTTTGAGTTGGAGTCTCTCTGTCACCCAGGCTGGAGTGCAGTGGCACTCTGCAAGGCCACCACAGCCTCAACCTGCTGGGCTCCAGCGATCCTTCCACCTCAGCCTTCCAAGTAGCTGGAACCACAGGCGTGCGCCACCACACCCGACTGATTTTTTTATTTTTTGTGGGAATGAGGTCTTGCCAAGTTGCCCAGGCTAGTCTCAAACCCATGGGCTCAGGCAAATCCTCTCACCTCGACTTCCCAAAGTTCTGGGATTATAGGCGTAAGCCACCATGCCAGCCCATATAACATTCTTGAAATGATAAAAGCTTAGAGATAGAAAATAGATTAGTGGATAGTGAGGGGCAGAGAGGTCGTAGGCGGCATGAGGCAGATGGGGTGATTGACCAACCCTGTATCTCCACTGTAATGGTGTCTACAGGCATGTACACATGTGCCATAGAGAACCATGCATACATTGTAACACTGTCTGATTCCTAATTGTGATTGTGTACTGTAGTTCCATAATATGTTAACATTGAGGGAACTGAATAAAGAGTAAGTGGGAACTCGTCATACTTTTTTTTTTTTGAGTTGAGGTCTCACTCTGTCGCCCAGACTGGAGTGCAGTGGCCGCT